TTTTCAAATCAATCATGCTATTTTTTACTACGACGCCAGAGCAAAAGTTCTTCTTCGCCACCATGGAGTCTTGCCAACATCTGAGGAGTGCTCTTAATACAAAGTACCATGTAAATCTGGGAGTACCAGCCAGCTTGGCAATGTGGTAGGTGGACAAGAGTAAGCAAAACAAAATGGGAGCGGCAATGCTCTCGTAGGTATGATATGTAACTGATATACTAATTACTAATAAATGTTGTATATTCCTATATTAACAAAATACATAAAAAAAAAAAAAATGTTCCAAATGGAAAAGCATGTTAAATATTTTCTACTGTCAGGGACTGCAAGGGCACTTTTCTCAACAACTTGAGAATTTCGCCATGGAAGCTGCTTTTGTTCACCAATCACTTCCTGCATCACAAGTGGGACCACAATACAGTGATAAAGGGCAACCATAATTCATGAGCAACGTCAGTAGACTGGAGAAGTTTTTGCTCAGAGGTGATGGAATTCTGGCTCAGAAAGCAAGAACCCATCAGCAGGCCAGAGGTGGGAGTCGAGACAGAGTCGAGAAACCTCATTGGTGAGGCAGAAGTATCACAGGGGAAGGATGGTTCATCAGGTATGGTATGGGTCTTCAGTGGGACAGAGCAGCAGTCGAAGAAGCGACAGTTGGATGCTTCAGGATCTTGGAATATTCTCACTGTGATAAACCATAGTGAGAATTTTATTGACCCCAACAATGCCAGGTTCCACATGCAGACCACCAAGCATTTGTGGAGGGACATCAAGGGTTGGGTTAAGCATTCTAATATGTGTCATCAGTTCTTTGAAAGATACCTGTTCCTGTGCCACCACACCAGAACCCACTTCCACGACTTCTTCAACTTGGTAATCAAGCATCTCTTGTTTCAGGAACATACAATATTTTGCAAATTCAACATGTAATATATAATGAATGTAAAATATTATGTATATTTTACTTTACAGTAAATCATATTTAATTTCAGGCTGGCCAGCTATATCCACCATAGTCGGAGAGTGATCAGCACCACTGTACCCCTATATACAGTGTGGTCAATGATTGAGAGGACTCTGACGACTCAGATGAACCCAAGCCAGGCCTATCAGTATACTACCTGGGACGCCGAGAACTAGACCATCACCTCTTAATTGAAGTATCTCAACTTAATCTTGCATAACCACCGTGAAGGTAATGAAAAATTAAATGTTTACAAACACAGGTATGTAACAGGAGAAGGAAAATGTGAATGTTTAACCATGCATTTAGTTATGATCGAATATCTAAACATATATAAACATATGTAAATAAGCCATATATGAGTGTTATTTAACACAATTCTGCCGGGCCACGCCTTGCAGCATCATAACAAACTGCTTGATTTGTGGAGTGCGGCTGTACACCGCAGTGACTCGCCAAAGTACTACATGCGTGGCATTCGGCTTGATGTATCAAACTCCCACGCTCAAAGTTGGCTCGTTGCCATTAATCTCCAGAGCATAGTTTTTTTTTTTTTTTTTTACCCGGTGAAAAGGGGCTAATTAAGGTGGCTGATCCATGCCCCATCTGGCTTCAAGTTGTGATGACCACAGAAAAACACTTCGTTTGAAATGTGTTTATACTGTGTATTATATCGGTATTATATGCGTGCGAGCATCCACGTGTGGGCCACGCAGGCATATAATACCGATATAATACACAGTATATTGTGGGTCACCCTTGAGAAAGTCTAGATCGCCACGAGGACGAGCCGTTAGTAGGTGGCCGAGCAATATACTGTGTATTATATCGGTATTATATGCGTGCGAGCATCCATGTGTGGGCCATGCAGGCGTTAAAATACCGATATAATACACAGTATATTGTGGGTCACCCTTGAGAAAGTCTAAATCGCCACGAGGACGAGCCGTTAGTAGGTGGCCTGAGAAAGTCTAGATCGCCACGAGGACGAGCCGTTAGTAGGTGGCCGAGCAATATACTGTGTATTATATCGGTATTATATGCGTGCGAGCATCCACGTGTGGGCCATGCAGGCGTAAAATACCGATATAATACACAGTATATTGTGGGTCACCCTTGAGAAAGTCTAGATCGCCACGAGGACGAGCCGTTAGTAGGTGGCCGAGCAATATACTGTGTATTATATCGGTATTATATGCGTGCGAGCATCCACGTGTGGGCCATGCAGGCGTAAAATACCGATATAATACACAGTATATTGTGGGTCACCCTTGAGAAAGTCTAGATCGCCACGAGGACGAGCCGTTAGTAGGTGGCCGAGCAATATACTGTGTATTATATCGGTATTATATGCGTGCGAGCATCCACGTGTGGGCCATGCAGGCGTAAAATACCGATATAATACACAGTATATTGTGGGTCACCCTTGAGAAAGTCTAGATCGCCACGAGGACGAGCCGTTATATAATACACAGTATTGTGGGTCACCCTTGAGAAAGTCTAGATCGCCACGAGGACGAGCCGTTAGTAGTGGCCGAGCAATATACTGTGTATTATATCGGTATTATATGCGTGCGAGCATCCATGTGTGGGCCATGCAGGCGTAAAATACCGATATAATACACAGTATATTGTGGGTCACCCTTGAGAAAGTCTAAATCGCCACGAGGACGAGCCGTTAGTAGGTGGCCGAGCAATATACTGTGTATTATATTGGTATTATATGCGTGCGAGCATCCACGTGTGGGCCATGCAGGCGTAAAATACCGATATAATACACAGTATATTGTGGGTCACCCTTGAGAAAGTCTAGATCGCCACGAGGACGAGCCGTTAGTAGGTGGCCGAGCAATATACTGTGTATTATATCGGTATTATATGCCTGCGTGGCCCCCATTTGGATACTCGCAGTGGCCACATGGTGTCCCACGCCCTAGCTACCCAAGCAGCGTGCCCACAGCGGCTGGGCGGGCCTCCTCACCCCCCAAGCCAACGTCTTGGATACTTAAGGCCGCGTTTTGACCCCGGTCAGGGAGAGTGTGCTGTACCACGCCCGAGGTCACATCTGACTGGGGCCGGTCTGCCCGCTGAGGTGGTGGTCATTCGTGACCCCAGGTGACCCGCACGAAACCCGAGACTTGTCTCGTTGTGTTATCATAACCGTGTGCTGAACTCTTACAGAATAAAGAGTGTTAAGCCACTCAAGCTTTTACTACTCCCTGTCGCCAATGTTTAGAGGTCTCCAATACCCTTCACAGTGTTTGTTACCAAGTGTTTTACTATTTATGTAAATACCTTTAAAATACAAGACAAAAGTAACAAGTGCTTCACTCAGTGTTTTAATCCTAGAAGGGTACAATGTGGTCAAAAGAATAGTTATTGCCGATGTTTTTTTCTTTTTATTTGTGTGTGTGTGTGTGTGTGTGTGTGTGTGTGTGTGTGTGTGTGTGTGTGTGTGTGTGTGTGTGTGTGCGCGCGCGTGTTTATGCTTTTGTATATTTTACGAAAATGCAGGTTGAATGTACTTGCATTTTCCGCAACAAAAGTTGACATGTCAGCACGAAGATTTTTAAACCCTTCCCAACTGGTCATGCCATGAGGCATCATAACAAACCGCTTCATCTGTGGCGTGCAGCTATACACTGTGGCAACACGCCAAAGCGCCACAAGGCTTGATGTACCAAACTCCCGCGCTCAAAGTCGGCACGTTGCCATTGATTTTTTTATTTTCTTCACCCATCATTAACCCCTTGATGACGGGTGAAGAAAACAAAAAATTTATGCTCTGGCGCTGACTTTGAGTGCAGGAGTTCAGTACATCAAGCTGAATGACCGGCTTGTCGTGCTTTGGTGCGCCGCCACGGCATACAGCCGCACACCACAGATCAAGCGGGAAGGGGTTAAGGGGTTAAAGATGGTGGGGAAGTCTATAGAATTGAATTCGCCGATTTTAAACATTGCTTTTGGTGCTTGTATTATGCATTTCTGTTCTCTATTCTTCTTATTTCAGCCTGTTTTACCCCTAATTTCCCTGATCTTCTTCATGTCATGCCTTACTGTCAGGATTAATCAAATCACATCAAGATTCCTGAATGGTGAATATGACGGAAATGAGCATCAGATTCATTCTCATCACACAAGAACAAATCTAATGATATAAGCACAGTACGGAAACACCCAACTGGCATAGTCAAGAAATTAACCCCTTCATGACAGGTGACGCCGCTAGGTGTGAAAATAAACCACTTGAAAAGTATGCCGCAGCAGCGCGCCAAAGCATGGTGAACCAGTGATTCGGCCTGATGTACTGAACCCACACACTCAGAGTCGCCACGCTGCCATGGTTCACCTGAGCGTAGAGTTTTTTTTTTTTTTTTTTCTTCACCTGCCACCATTGGGTTAACCAAAAATAAGTATAAGAATAGGTTACCTTGAAAACTTGAAATTTATAGGAAAAATAGGCAAATAAAGTGTTTACTGGTACCAGGCAGAAGATTTATTAGCATTGGGTAGTAATTAGTAAAATCCCCATATTTTATATTTTTCCCTAAGTAAAATTGGATGTCTGATCAGTAGTCCAGTTTGACATTCAGTTAATGGCTCATGAAGATATAAAGCTAACATGAAATGTGCTGCAATATCAAGGGAGAAACATTTAAGGTTCAAAGTTTGAGGCTATCTTTCATGTAAACAAACAGGCTGTACGGTATGCAATCTGCCTCCAAAACTACCCCTCTCTTCCATGTAACATGTCGCAGAATGTTATGTTGGCTTGCACATTCTCTAGACATCACCACACAACATACAGCGGGCCCTACCCAAGTGAACACAGAGAGTATTTATTGTATTTATCGTCATTATTACATCAGATGAATTCAAATACCCGGGAATACAAAATGTAAACAAACACAGTGACATCAAAACACAAGAGGTTCCTTCTACTCTCCGCCCCCAAACATACTATAAAAAAATAATAAAAATCCTAGGGGAATATTAGAAACAGCTATACAATTTTCAAATACCATAGTCAACTTACAATAGAATCCAAAATTGCTGAATTTGAATCTTCCGACATCTTGGCCGATCATTTATTATTGTAGTATCAATATATTTCTTAAGCTTACATGGACTTTCTTTCCCTATCACTTATTATCCTTTCAGGCTTATCTCTGTTCTCGATAGCTCTACCGAGACCGCATACTCTTGCAAGAGCCTTAATTAAGCGTATTTAAGAAAGGTTTGTCTCACTCGTGCGTTCATCTTCGAAAACAACGCTCCGGTATACGATGTTTTGCTAGTCTTTGGCTAGAACGTATTCAAGAAAGCGATAGGGTGGATCCCGAAAATCACGAGACATTAAAACGTATCCCAAAAACGGCGATGTGTATAGTATGATGGAACGGATACCCAACAAAAACACGAAAATAAAATTAAAGGGTAGAAACAATGACATAAAGAGGAAATCTGATAGGATAAATGGTGAATACTTGAAAAATAGAAGTAACTATTCAAAGATGCATTGATGTTCAAATAAAACTTGAATAGATTCTAGAAACTTCGAGTTTCGGGAATGGGACGGGAATTGATAATGGTTTTATTATGGATCATGAAAACAATCTCAATCTCAATAATATCAAAGCTCAGGGCACTAAGCGTTAGAGCATATCAAGCTATCTTGGATGTATAGGTAGAGCAATCTATCACTAAACCTAACCTTCTTTACCATGTAATGTATATAACAATGACTGACTATAATGAATTTGGAAACTAAGTCTAAAATGCATCAAAGGATTTTTTTTTTTTTTTTTGAGAAATGGTAATATGTATTATACATATTCGGAACGAGAAATGGAATGACGGATAGTGTCGGCATGATTTACACATAGAAAGCATAATCAAGCTCCTGGTTAGCTCATCTAGAGTAAAAATGTAGATGTTTGGTTTATTTCCACTGTATAACGGAATCCTAATGTAGAAGAGGAAGCTATGTTGGTAACTACTGTTAAGGTTACACTGTATCACGTGAATGATTTTTTTTCGAGTAACGCAACTCTTACTGTTGTTGCGCGTTTTTTTTTCGGTGACATTTCCGCGAGTGGTTATGCAATTGCCAGGCGGTGTCAAGCATCTGTGCCCGTCGGGTATGGGCAACCCCCAATCCCTATCCTTTCTTTCCTAATCAATTAAT